CAGAGCACAGATAGCCCATTGTGTGGCTTTGTGCTTAATTCCAAACAATAAACTCTTGATTTTCATACTGATTCTTTATTTCCTATCATAAAAGTAACTGAAATTAAAAATCCAGATCTTTTTGAGTTATTTAAGACTAGATTAAGTAAAATAAGTAATTATAATAATATAATTAAAATGGTTCACGAGGCATGCACGCGAGAAGCTCGTGGGTAATGTAATTCCACAGCGTAACGTGAGCTGCACGTTCCTGGAATGATTTTATATTTGTTTTTTGTTTTTTGGAATTTCGCGCAAAGCTACACGAGGGCTATCTGCGCTAGCCGTCCCTAATTTAGCAGTGTAAGACTAGAGGGAAGGCAGCTAGTCATCACCACCCACTGCCAACTCTTGGGCTACTCTTTTACCAACGAATAGTGGGATTGACCGTCACATTAACACGCCCCCACGGCTGAAAGGGCGAGCATGGAATGATTTTATAATGGCTCGGATAGTAGCTAGACACGTTCAAAGGGCAATAAAACAATAAAATTTAATTTTAAATATATATATAATGTTGCGAACTTAGTGCTACTTAGGATAAACGAATGTAGTTTCATTTTACAATTTGAAGTCATTCTAGAAAGAAAAAAGGTTAATTTAAGTTTATTTCGATTTTCTTTTTTTTTTCTTTTTTTTTGCTGGTTACGAGATCGGTCGAATTGATCGAACCCGTTTTGAGATAGAGTAGAGAAAATAACAGATAAACTATAAGGATTTATTGAAAAAAACGTTTGGAATGCATTTTGGAGGTCTTAGGGATTACACAAAGGAAATTTGAGATTTTTGAGATGATGAAAAGTTTTTAATTTTAACATGAAAATTACTTTGCACAAAGGCTGTTCAAAACAAATATATTCATGGACAAATATTTATTTTATTAAAAATACTTCACTAAGAAATATTACTTTTTGTATGTGAAAGACTTGTAATATTAACTTAAAGACTGTCAAATTTCGTGAAGATATACCCAATATATTGAGAGTTATAAGTATTAAATTTATAAGACTTTAATTGACAATTGGCGGACATTACTTAGTTTCTGACTGTATATAATGGTATGTCCTAGTGGAGTTTTTGTTTATCTATACGAGTAACATAAGTTTTGCAGTGGTGTATTAGTAATGCTATGTCCTAGTGGAGTATTTGTTTATCTATAAGAGTAATATAAGTGTTTTACAGTATTATATTATTATTAGTTTGTTTGTAATTAGGCTCAAAGCTACACAATGGGCTATTTGCGCTCTGCCCACCACGGGTATCGAAACCCAGATTCTAGCGTTGTAAGTCCGCAGACATACCACTGTGCCACTGGGGGGCATTATTATTAGTAATCCTATGTCTTAGTCGAGTATTTTCTTACCTATGAGAGTGATATAAGTGTTTTAGAGTGGTATATTAGTGATGTTATGTCTCAGTGGAGTATTTAAGGTATTATGTACTAGAATATCGGAGGTGTTATAAAGTAGCTGTAATGTATGTACTGGTAATGTATTGCCGGTATGTAACACCACATTAATCAGTGCATTTGGTAAGAATTTGCAGAATAAAGAGTTGACAGTGTAAAAGAAAATGTAACAAAGGGTATATTCGAAGCGTATAGAGAAATATGTGAATATTATGAAACCTAATTCATCATTTTCATATTTTATGTAAATGAATTACTTATTTCTTATTATAAATTAAGATATACAGCTTCTTCTAACCAGTATCGATAAAATGCGCGTCAAATAAATTTTTTATGTGTAGTACAATTAAGTTAGAGATAAAGACGGCTTGAGATTAGGATACAAATTTTGTCATGGGTAATAAACAAACTGACAAGAAAATTAAACAGATTTATTTTCGATAAATATGCATGTAGAAATAATACTAGTAAATAGGAGCAAAACTGAAATTACTGGACTGAAAACAAGTGAAAGAACCAATAAAAAGTTGAAGAAAGAACAGATATATGAACAGAGTAAGAGAGGACAACATAAAAAACTAAAATTAGAATAAAAAAGCACTAGAAATAATCCGTATAAAGTAGGATAATGAACAAAGTAATACTGAAAGATCTGAGAAATCGCCAGAAGAAAGCAGGATATAGAATCCAGTAGAAATTAAAATAGCTATTAATATTAAAAGAAGCCGACGAAAAATGACCTTAGAGAGTGAATAGAAGAGTCGTTGAAAGTAACTAAATGGAATAACTAGAAAACTTAGTAAAATTAAAAGTTTGAAAACGAAACTAGAAGTAGAGTATAAAAGAAAATCGCAATGAGACGAATAATGTGGGAGTTTTAAAAAATATTTTAAAGCAAACTCTAAACACT